ACCTGGGTAGCGGCCTCGCTGCTCTTCTCCGGCTCGTGTAACCTGAAAGGGGGAACAAAACTAGTCAGATCGGCCGAGTGCCCTGTTGCCTCTTCCCTAGCGATGGAGCAGCCGGGGGGTTCGGATGCAGAACAAGGTCCCTGCAGCAGCCCCGAGCAGGATGAGCCCTCACCAAGCGAGCGTTGGCTCACGTGCTGGTCCAGCTACACCTCTGCAGGCTGGCCCAGCTCCCACCCGCTCGTCCAGCCTCACCAAAAGCCAAGTGTTCGGGTGCAAGATCACCGCGGGGGCAGAACCACAACCGGGGAGGTCGGCAGAGCCTGGGCTCCTGCCTTCCCTTTCACAACAAGCTTTTGGGGATCCAGCTCCGTCCCGATCCCAAGCCACCCCGTTTGCAGGCTGGAAGTGTCCAGCTCAGAGCGCCTGTGGGTTACTCAGGGACTGGAGGAGATGGACACTTACCTAGCAGATGGTGAGCTTTTACCTGCCAGAAGAGAAATAGTTTAGGAAAGAAAGAGTTCAGGAAACAACGTCACCCCCCGCGCTTCGCCGGGCACGAGCCCGCATGCAGAGACGGCTGCGAGAGCAGACGCGCGTCTCTTCCCAGAGGCAAGCGCCTGCAGTTTTCTGCAGTTTCACTTCATTTACCGCAGGACTGTTCCTGGCAGAGGGCAGGAGGGTGCCAGGCATTTTAGGTACGAGGAACAACAAGCACATTTGACTCTGCTCCCGACAGGCACTGGCGTGCAGCGGCAACCAGGCAGAGCTTTCCCAGGCAAACCACCCAGGCAGCCCTGCTCCGTCCGCCCCGCTGGGCGGGAGCTGCAGCAGCACAGCGTGAATCTGGCATCCAAGCACTGATGCTCGAGAGGGAGAAGGGCGTCAGGAGCAGCTGCTCCCCGGCCGTGCACTCGGTTTCCTTACCCTTGCTCTGCTTTGCCCGGATGAGGTAAAGAATTGCAGCCACCAGCAGTGCCAGCACAGTGCAGACCACTCCCACCACGATATAGATGAGGAGCGAATTGCCTGAACATGAATAAAAAAGGTCACCACGGGCCTGAAAACGCTGGTACCAAGTCCCTGCAGCCTTACAGCTGGGACTGGCCTGGTGACACCTGAAGCACCGAGGACGACAGCTCAGTACCTGCCAGCATCACACCCCCCAGCCCCCAATATGGAGATTTTCTGTCCTTGAAACAGATTCTGGTGGGACTTGGAGCTTTCTCAGGGGGGTGACATCTTACAGCCTCCACAGCAGGGTCCACACCCCAGCAGCTCTCACGCACCGTTATCTGCCTGGGACGAGTCACTCAGTCCCCCCCCGGCCGGGGCAGCGACCCACAGGGTGGCCGTCCTGCTGACGGGGTCCTGGGCATCGTGCACCACTCGGCAGGCGAACACGGACCCGTTCTTCTCCTCCGTCGCTTGAACCTCCACCAGACTCCTCAGCTTGAACAAGCCCTGGGGGGTCTCCACCGGCCGGGAGTTGTTCTCCACCTTTATCTCCATCCCATTCTCCAGCCAAGTGACAGCCACGTCTCTCGGGTAAAAGCCCTCCACGTGGCAGGTGAAGTTCATGGTCTTGTTCACCTCGATGGGGCTCGGCAGGCCAGCGACCACACGGACACTGGGGGAAACTGGGAAGAGAAGCAGCTCCTGGTGCCTGGCGTCCCCCGGCTCTGCTGCCCGCAGGGTGCCCTGTCCCCGCCCTGGGACCCCCAGCCCCACAGGAGCTGGTCGCCCCGAACGCCAGTCCGCCCCCAGCCCTCACCTCGCAGGGCTTTGCTGAGCCGGTACGTCCCCCTCAGCGGGGCCGTCAGCGTGGGGTGCTGCACCTCGCAGGCGAGCTGCGAGCGGACGT